TACATACATACATACATATACATACATATATAAAATCAAGCACATAAGAACCCTGGAATAATTATAATTGTTGAAATTACATTAATTGATATTTTAAAGCTGTGTTAATTTGTTCTATTTCTGTATTTTCTTGCTTACATATTATCTAATAGTTTCCCCTAATTTAACAAGTTTAGGTGCTTGATTACAGACTATACTGCAAGCAAAGTGAAAGTAGTATGGGGAAAGATTTTGTCCAAAGATGGACAAGCACTGCCTGGGTAAGTGGTCAAAACATAATCTATTAAACGTCGTTTTCAAGAAAGCAAGCCTTTTTGATATTAAAAAACCCCTAATTTCTGGGACACAGGGTGCCACAAAGCATGAGACTCCAGTCAGTACTACCTGTAGGCCACCATTTTGGTAACAGGAATAACTCTTAATCCATCTTCACTTAAATGTGCTCAATGTGAATTGCAAGTTATTCCCATTTAACTGATGATTTAGTGATCCCCCAGTTGTGTACGCATGCATACAATCTATGTTTTAGGAACAATTAATTTATATTGATATTTGAATTTTAAAAGTTCCTTTTAAAGTGGACTAAGAGCTACCTTAGCATAAAGAAGGTTAAGAGGCAAATCCTTTTCCAACTACTAGGTGGTGAATTGACACAGGTTTGTAAAGGTGTTGACATCATGGTGACATGTCTGAAATAAGATACTACAGGACTCCCGGGATTATCTGAAGCCTCTAATCTCTTAACCACCATTTTGATTTGATATTACTACATGTGTCTTTGTCCAAGAAGCAACTGAACAGGAAAGCACAAGAGAAAGGTATTAAACAGAAGAAGAAAAACTAAAAACTATTCAACTGTTTAAGTTCAGTGTCTCACATAGCCTCCTATGGTACCAGATAGGGAAAGCAATTTTAACAGATATAAAGGCACATAAAGAGCAACTACTACATTTCTCATGGACTTTGTGCATCTAAATTGATTTTTGGGAAGTGCTTTCCAAGGGGGTTGGATAACCAAGGTTCTATCATACTGACCATGACCTGCTTATGTGCTCCCATGCACCTTCCAAACCCAAATAAGCACTGGTGAGGCTGTTGTCAAGCATACTACAGAGCAGAGGCAAAGAGGTCTCATGCATTTGAGTAAGAGCAGGTGGGTAGTGTTCCCTCATTGGTGTCCCAGCCAGGATAAATTAACAGTGTTGACACAACTCAAGTGCCTAATTGCTAGTTTATACTCTGACAGAGTATAATTAAAAGTAATTTTAATGTACTTTTGTCCACTTAGGCCTTCAGATTAAATCAGTAAAAGCAGTAAGGAGGACCTGCCCATCTTTTATTTTAACAATTTTAATTTAATGAATGTATTAATTATTTTTTTCCAAGTAGAGTTTAAATTCTATTATAAAAGTAAACGGGATTTTTAATTTTCTGTACAAATATAAGTAAGTTTGTTAATTAGTTCAGGCGTTTATCCTTTAGAATCTTAGGAAAGTAGGACTAGAAGCCACTGCACAAGGTCATCTAGTCAAGCCCTCTGTTCAAGGCAGGATTGTCCCCAACTACACCATCCCAGCCAAGTGTCTGTCCAACCTGCTCTTGAAAATGTCCAAGTTCCTCCTAGTCTCCAATCTCAATTTCCCATGCTGAAGCTTGGGGACATTACTCCTAGTCCTCTCCCCTACAGCTACAGAGACAAACCCATTTTCATCCTCTTTATAAGTCACCTTTCAGGTGTTTGTAGAATGTATCAGATTATTATCTGTCCATTATTAAAGACTATTATCAAATAACCCTAGTTCTTTCAGCCTTTCTTCATAAGTCTGGCTTCCCAGGCACCTAATCATTTTTGTTGCTTTGCACTAGATTTTAATCTGTCCACATCCTTCTTGAAATGTGGGGCCAAAAACTGGACATAGTACTCCAGGTGAGGCCTCACCAGTGCTGATTAGAGTGGAAGAATCATTTGCCTTGATTTGTAGGTGACACTCCTATTAACACAAATCAGTATTCAGTTTATAGTCCAGTCTAAACTCCAGAACCTTCTTTGTGGTACTGCAGCCTAGCCAGTCACGCCCCAGTCTGTATTTGTGCATGCAATTATTCCATTTCAAGTACAGGACTTGGGATATACCTGCAGTTGTCCTTGTTGACTCTCATCCGATTGCTTGAGGGCCATTTGTCCAGTCTATCCAGATAGTACTGATTCCTAGCCCTACCCTCTAAAGTGACTGCAACCCATCCCCCTCCCCCACAACTTGATGTTGTTCACAAATTTGCTAAGCATGTACTCAATCCCATCATCCAATTAATTAATAAAAAGTGGATGTGTAGCAGAAATGGTCCCTGGCCAAAGCAGCCAGCGGTCTTGAATCCAGGCCAATTGGCTTGGGAAGCCAGCAGCCTAAACACAAGGCTACAGCAACAGGACTTTCTGAAATTTAAAGACATGTTAATAGTTCTTGACTCCTCATTTATATGCAACTTTGCATTCCTATTTGAATCACTAGGTAAATGCTATTCTAAATGTCTTGAGTACAATTATTTTTATACAGTTATGAATTATGTTAACTGTTTCTATTAACGCTAGAGCAGGCAAGGGAAAGAATATTTGTCAAAACAAATGGCAGACAGCCTATAGACCTTCAGCTCTGGCAAGCTCTGTAGAACTCTAGACTCTTAAAGCCATCTTTACTCAAAATATTAAGGAACTAAATGGGGTAGAGTGGAAGTGTGTTCCTAGAGGAGCCAGTGAATATAAAGTGCTTCACAATACTTTCTGCAATTAATCTGCCTAGGCAGACACTTTTGCATTTCCAGAGTTCTACTGAAGTCAATGGCAGCTGAGCAGGTGCCTAAGTCAAGGTGTTTGAATGCAGTTGCAAAATTAGTGGCTATGCTTGGAGCTGCATTCTTTGTATTTTCTCCCAAACTTGCTGAAGATTAATGAAAGCACAACTTATTTAAAAAAAATGCAATACATTAAACACAGAAAAATATTGAAAACGTTAGAAGAAAACTCTCTCAGATATTTTGGAAAGTACTGGAGATAAATTTATGTACTTAGCACATAATTTTCTACGAGTCCTGGCACAGTAGAAAACTATGCATTCAAGTAATTTCCCATGTCCAACAATTTAAATCTTTCATGGCTGTTAATATCCCTTCTAAAAAAAAGAATGAAACAAACCCTCCTCCATGGAGCATTAATGTAACACCCAAACCGAAGACATAATACAACATTTATCCAAGGCACATCATTTCTACAGAAAGGGACACATTTGAAAGTAACTGAACAGGACTAGAAAAGGTCATGGATACATTCTGTAATCCTTGCAGATCATTCGTCCCATTCACTTCAGTATTGGCTACTGGACACACTAAAACTTTCAACATATGCACATGTGTGTATGTTGGTGATATATACCAAATGGTAATATTAAAATAAAACATGCGAAGGAAGGAATTGATGCTTTTCAAAGTGGGAAGAGGAAGAAGACAGTTGTGACCTTGTCTATACAGGAAAAATATGCTGCTTTAGCTAGTATAATACAATTCACATAGTACAACTCCCTACTTTAGGTGCAGTTATGGTGGTGCAAAGGTGTTTTGCACCGCCATAAAGAAGAATAGAACTATAATGCACCATATACCAATGACACCAATATAACCCCATAATGGTTCTTACCACTAACTAGGTCACTAAATTTTATACCCTGGCCATTATACCAATAAAATGTTCAAGCCTAGATGGGGCCTAAACAAAGGAGTATATAATATGGGAAGGAAAAAGAACAAATACAAAAAGGGGAAAAATAAATGAAAATACACTTCAGCCGAAGAAACACACACGTTCAATTTCAAGTATCCAGTTACGGAACAATGTTCTAGCAGTTCAATTAACGTAGGTATCAGACCACATCACAAGACCTCGTTTCTCGGGATGCTTTCCAGCTCCAGCTAATATTTAATATTAAACCACCAGGCAAAGGAAACAAGCCTCTCCCACGGAGGCGAGGCAAGAGTGGGGTGGTGGGAAGTAACCTCTGAAGTTCCCTCAGCCCTTCCTGCGCCTGCCCATCGCTACAGCCAGGGCTGCAGTGCCCAGCACACAACTGTCAGTTTGCTTCAGTTGCCCAGAAACAACTGGTATTTCGGTGTTACTGTAGTTGACAAATCGTGAAATATTTTAGTAAACGTCAAGACAGACACCCACCCAGACCACAGCGCCGAAGGAACCAGAGGCTCTTCTAAATCAAGCACGAGTTGCTGGTCGCTCCTCAGGGACCCCCGGAGAGGAGACTCCTCAGTGGGGCGGCGGGGGAAGGGGCTGTCACAGAGACCGTTAACGGCCATAACGGACCCCCTGGGCCGGGACCAGAGGCAGAGACGAGACGAGCCGGGCGTG